AAATAGTTACAACTGCCAGATAGTTACCTCTAGTTTTAAGGGCTGAAGGTCATGCAAAAACTAACTTAGCTTCCCATCAGAAGGATGCCCATCAGAAGGATGCTCTCTGCCCAAAGGGCAAATGGCATGGAGGATAAGGCCAGGCAGCCATGGTACAGAAGGTTGGTAAGAGGGTGGCCACACTAACTTCTGGATACCTTCCAGCTGGAAATCAGTAAACAGAAAGGCCCCACCTTATGCTTAAAGCAAATCCTTCCTATACAAATGCACATGTGCATAAAGGGATATGTCAGAAAAATCAAACATACTGCAAGGTCCACCTGCTTTTCTTTTTGTGAATGTGTGAGGTGCATTTTTTCCACGCCACACTAGATGTTAGTAGATCAGTTTACTTTGTCTTTCAGAGTACCTTAAGAGAGTATGTGTGCCATGAAACACATCACAAAAGGAAACAGCTCTGAAAATGTTAAATTCAGTAGATTAGTTACAGGATTACTACTCTATTTATCTTTCCTGCTGTTGCTTTTATGCCTTTAATAGCAACCTTAGACAATGAAACAAAGAAACTAAAAAGAACTGGTCCTATAGTGCTGCATACATAGGATGAGCAGGATAGTCTCTTTGCGTTAGAGACAAAATGGAAAGCATTAGTAATGCTGCTAGAATGCAGCTTTAAGAGTCCTTAAAGTACTTGGAAAAGTTACAGCACCTCTGACCAAGCTCTGGGTTACCTTCCCAAGCCCTTCTTTAAATGTACAGTGGTTCCCTAGTATCCACTGGGGTTTGGTTACAGGACCTCCCGTGGATACCAGAATTCATGGATGCTTAAGTCCCATTACATACAATGGCGTTGAAAAATGGTGTCCCTTATATAAAATGACAAAATCAAGGTTGGCTTTTTGGAATTTATATTTCTATGAATACTTTTGAGCCAAAGATGCTTGAATCCATGAATAAAAAAATCAGTGGATATAGAGGGCCACTTGTACTGTAAAGAGAGAATTTACGTTTATACGATCAGTATAATCCACTGATAAATCTTTCTCTAAGATCCCAATCCAGCCTGCAGGTGGAAGGGTCACAGATCTCCATACATTCTTCAGTGGATGAAGTGGGATAGGTGAGAAATCCTATTAGAAATTGATGCCAGAATATCAGCCACAATGTAGGATATAGGTGTGTCTCAATGCTAAGCAAATATAAAACAGGTCCAGTTAAAAGTGTCAGAAAAGTTGGGTGTGCCCTCCTCCCAACTGTTATTTAATTGACAAAGCATGATTAAATAAAAATGATTTTTTTCTACTGAGCAAGCCAGTCCTAAACTTTGTTCAGTTCAGTTGATGATAATTAGAACGGCATATAAATTATTGTTCAGCAGCTCTGCAAACCACAAAAATTGGAAGGGACCGCAAGGGCTAGCTAGTCTGGCTCCCTGCCATGCAAACACATATAACTACAGCATTCCTGAAAGACTGCCATTCATTCACCGTTTAAAAACCTCTGAAAAAAGAGAGTCCACAATCCTCCTAGAAAGTCTCTTCCACAGTTCCTTGTAACCTCATCCCTGACAATGCAACATGGGGCTCATTCAGACTGGTTATTTGTGCAAATGTATATTACACCATTTAGTGGTGCTTATTTACTCTTCTCTATCAGCCAGTGTGGCGTAGAGGTTTGAATGTTGGACTATGACTCTGGAGACCAGGGTTCGATTCCCAGCTTGGGATGACCTTGGGCAAGTCACACTCTCTCAGCCTCAGAGGATGGCAATGGCAAATCCCCTCTGAAGAAACCTGCCAAGAAAACCCCGAGATAGGGTCGCCTTACAGTCGCCATAAGTTGGAAATGACTTGAAGGCACACAACAACAACAAATGCATCTTGTTGTCAGGGCATCATTAGGGGTGTGTAGGGGTGCAGACCACAACAGATGACACCCTAAGCGGGGGTGACACCACTGCTCCCCAAACATCTACCTTTTGGCAGAAGCAGGTTATGTCTTCATCTCTTTAAAACTCTAAAGTTCAGCAGGAGGATAAAAGAGAGGCCAGAAGCTGTTGTTTTTTTTTAAAACATCAAATTTAAACTTAATTTTTTTAATTTTATTTTTTTCCAAAATATTGTTTTTATATTTTCTATAACATAATAGCTTACCAAAATTTCAGTTTAACCATATGATATTATGTATATGTAAATACATTTAGGCTGTGCATATGATATTCTAATTTAATGAAATAATTTTAATATTGCTAGTTGTTATGTCACAACTACACTCGTCCCTCCCAATTTTCAGGGATCCGTTCTGTCCCCCCCATGAATAGGAAAAAACATAAATGCTCAAGCCCTATTGGTAATAATGTCCGCGTGCTGCTGCGCATGCATGCCATTTTGCCCCTCCTCACTTGCTGTCTGCGAAACCATGGACAGTATGTCCGCAAATAGGAAGGGATGAGTGTATTATCAATATATTCAGTGATAAACGGAAATTATGATTGATGAGTAACATTAGTACAAAAAACATTTCTAAAGGTTCTGTATTGTGTGATATGCGAGGAAGTCAATGGGAAAGTTTACTGCACCAAGTAATGCCAACCCTAGTGACACCTCTCCTTGTTGCTTCGCTATCCAAGCACTCGCTTGCCTTAAAACAAAATTCACTAGAAATGTGGCCCATTCCAGTTAGTTTGTGGATGCCTTGCTTGTGACATTGTTAGGACATTAGATGTGGGTGAGTCCAACCCCTTCATACCCCCCAGATGTGTTTCCAGATTGTTGCAGTCTTAACAAACTCTCCTTCTGTTTCTTCCCCAGAGCCTGCTTAATGGTTTTAGATTCTTTATTAGTGCTAAAGTATAGCCGGCATGGTGTAGTGGTTTGAGCATTGGATTATGACTCTGGAGTCCAGGGTTCAAATCCCTGCTCAGCCATGGAAACCCACTGAGTGACCTTGGGCAAGTCACACACTCTCAGCCTCAGAGGATGGCCGTGGCAAACCCCCTCTGACTAAAGCTGCCAAGAAAACCCTATCATAGGTTTGCATTAGGCTTGCCATAAGTTGGAACCAACTTGAAGGCACACAGCAGCAGCAACAAATGGTGCTAAAATGCTAAACTACAGTAGTACTATGTACTATGTTTCTTCAGAGCAAGATCAAACACACACCAACCCTTGGGAAGGTTCTCTATGGTCCCACTCCACTCCGTTGAGCTGGATGGGACCCCTTGAGTACACCATAATAAAAATAAACAACTCACTGCTACCACCCAATGAATTAGCTTGTCATACCCAGAGCCTGCTTAATTGTTTAAGATTCTTTATTAGTGCTTAAGTATAGCCAGCATGGCATAGTGGTTTGAGCATTGGATTATGACTCTGGAGTCCAGGGTTCAAATCCCTGCTTAGCCATGGAAACCTACTAGGTGACCTCAGGCAAGTCACACACTCTCAGCCTCAGAGGATAGCCATGGCCATTGCTGGACCTTCAACTGGGAACCTACACTCAGAACAGACACTAGCAGAGCTAAGGCCCTTAAAAGGAGGAAAGATTGAGGCAGAGTACTAAAGAACACATCATGCGAAGGCATGAATCGTTGGAAAAGACAATAATACTTGGAAAGGTGGACGGAAGTAGAAAGAGGAAGGCCACATGCTAGATGGATGGACTTTATTAAAGAGACCATGAATAAGAGTTTGCAGGAGCTGGGCAGAGCAGGAGAGGACTGGGGGGCCTGGAGATGTCTCATCCATAGGGTCGCCATGGATTGAGATCAACATGAAGGCAGTTAACAACAGCAACAAAAACTAAAGAAAAAGGTTTTATTTTAAAGAAGGGACATTAAAGAAGAGGAACATCGAAGACAACTGGTCCTCCAGGCACAAAACTTAAAAGTATCAGATTCAAAACACAATCAAGTCAGCCAAACCTTAACATACTGCGAACCTGGTTTCCTTGACGAGTAGGAACCCCCCCCCAACACATACTGAAAGCTGAGACCTTGCTATTTTTCAGTTTCGACTCTTCCCAA